TTTAGTATAAACGAGGGGTTGTGGTGGCGGAGGATGGAGAGGAGGAGGAAGATCGAGGGAGTAGAGGAGGAGGAGGAGGACGTTTACTTTGGGTAGCTCCAGTCACGTTGCGGTCACGTTGGAGTCACGTGAGAAAAATGGCCGAAAAATTGGATCCGGCCAAACTTAAAACCTATTTGTCGCCGGAGTTCAGGAAATACACCAAAGTGGTACCGGAAAAAAATTATATGCCAACCTGTCTTGGGTAAACAAAATCTACCAGTTTGGTCATTTTGCCGAGTCTATTTGCAGCCAACCCTTATATTTTCTATATAGCTCTAACATGTATATTTTTTGTGCTTTTGCGACAAACTTTTGATTTTGCAACAACAAACAACCAAACAAAATAACTGAAACTTGGACGTAGCTCGATTAGCATAGTATGTCGAATACTTACAACCAAACTCACCCTAACTTAATTTATGTGAGATTATAAGATTGTTTTTCAAAAGTTGTAAATCTTAACTTTTTAAATGAGACTTAGAAGATGTCTAGGAGGCTTTTTTTGGGTGGTGAGAGTAGCTTCTAAACTAGTTTTTCTATAACTATACAATTAATTATACATTTTAAATAAGCTAACTTTTAAATCCTATTTAAAAAAGTTGGGGGAATCCACTTCTTGGGAAACAACTTAGCTCATCTAGATTACCTACATTTAACCAAGCAAATGACTATTCTACCCACACAATATCTATTAAAATTTTTCCATATATGAGCTAAAATCCAGGAAAGCTAGCATAATTTATAAACATTGTAAAATGGGACTTAGGCCGATTTTGTATAGTTGGATCCTATAATAAGTTCCTTATAGAAAAAACTTAAATACGCTATTGAAAGTAGCTATTTGGTAATCATATATCAAAACCGACTTCCAAACTCTGTTAAGATGTTTGATAAAACTATGTTTGAAAATCGATATAAGTGAAGTGACCAAAATACACATAACTTTAGCTTCATGTTTACTGGTAGTAGAAAAAGATTACTAAAAGACGGTACAAAGAAAAGCTTCTTTTAAAAGCATCCTCAAATTACTTCTAAAAGCACCCACCTTAAAAAGAAGCAATTTCCAAATGTATGTAATTTATTTTACCATACGCCATTATCAGTTGTTTCTTAAAAATAAGTAGAAACACCCTAAAAAACAATACCAAACTTACCCTCAAAAGCTAACTTGTTTGAGAAGTTACCAAACATGTAGATGTAGATATGGAAAAACAAATTTAAAAGCTACTATAGGATAAACTTTTTTTAATTCCACAAATTCACCTTGAAAAGCTAGTTTATTTGGAGCGCAGCTAGATCAACATAGCGTTCCATAGTTTTCTAGCCAAACACACCCAAACTTTTTCAGGTGAACCGTTGGGTCAATTTGCAAATCTATGAAAACTAGGCCAAGATCAATTATGGGCCAGTTTTCTCTTAAACTGGTTTACTTTTGTTCCACGAGGAGGTGATTTGGAAAAGAACCAATTTTCAAGTTAATTTTGGCCGGGAAAAGGGTCCTATTCTGCACATATTTTAGCCAATCACAAAACAAATTAAACTGGGTCATCATCAATCCTGACCCAGTTTTAAAGATTAGCCGAACCTTATGCTAGTTTCTCAAAAGTTGAGGATCCTAACTTTCACAATAAAACTAAAAAGCTAGTTTGTTTGAAATGTTATTGACAGATATACATGAAAAGCTAGTTTAAAAGCCCTAGAGTGTTGGTGCAATCAATCAGACTCTGAGACAAACTATGTCCGGTGTAGATGTGATGAAGTTATTGGTCAAACGGTTGTGGGGGTGTTAACGCCTTTATACGTTATGTTGCAAGGTAACTGGGTATCCAATATCCTTAGCAAAGACTTATAAAGTCACAGCTAAAGAGCATGGAAACTTCAATCAAGCCTTGGAGCCTAGCTCTCTCGTCAGAA